GAGAGAGAGAGAGAGAGAGAGAGAGAGAGAGAGAGAGAGAGAGAGGCATTCCCCTTATCTAAAATGACTGGGACCAGAAGCTTCTTGGATTTTGGACAGTTTTGTGCTGCAGACCCCTTAAACACCCTCCCCTTAGTGACCCCACACATCTTCAGTCACCTGTGTTTTGACTTAAGACCTATCATATGAAGCCAGGTGTGGAATTTTCGACTCGAGGTGCCATATTGGCTCTCAAAACCTTGCAAATGCTAGCACCTCTTAGGTTTCATAATCTCTGGTAAGGGGTGTTGGGCCTGTGTATACATTCTATACTGTGAAGAGAGAAATCCAGGTGCCTCTGCGTGACGAATAGCAGAGACTTGCTTCTCTTCTATCCATCTCAAATATACAGATCAGAGATTAAAGTCGTGCTTGCAGATGCAGTCTATGCTCAGCCTGACCCGAGGGCATCTTTAAATAAAGGCTGTACTCTTCCTGTACATTTAACCCAGGCAAAGACTTCCCAGGTGACAGGGAAAGTGCACACATGCAGAAGGAGAAGAAGATGAGACAGAGGCTTTCTCCTCGGCAGGCTTCTCCAGGAACAGTGGCATTTAAAGAAAAACCATAATCCTAGTGAAAAACATGGAGGGTGAAGGAGCACCCCTCACAGAGTACTGCCTGGGGTCTCCCAGCTTTGCAAGCCGTGACACAGCTCCAACCGAGGACAGACCTGCCGTCTTGGGCAGGTATGGGAGACATTTTAAAGGGAGAGGATGGACCTCCACAGGCTGTACTCATGGAGGGACTCACTCTGGTGAAGAAGCAGGCACGTTACTCCGATCTCCAACTTAGTAGTTCACACCTATGGAGGGGTCTGCCACGATCATGGATTTCTATAAGTCAGGGGTTAATTGAGACCACCCTTCTCCAGCATCCAGGACACAGACGGACCTTCAGGGGCTGGTGCCTTGGGAGCACTGCAGTCAGTTCTGATCTTAACAGGTTTAAACTGGGCCCAGTCACCAGACAACTAGGAGTCTCAGAATGCCCAGGCGTGCCCTCCAGCCAAGATGGAGGTAGAATCCAGGTGCTCTTGACCAGCCCTGAAGGCACTACCACCTTCCTGGAGCTAGAGAGGAGGGTAAGCCACTTCATCCTCAGCCAGTAAATATTTTATGGAAAGTCTTCTATGTGTCAGGCCCTGCATAAGACACCCAGACTAGAGAGGGGCCTAAAAAAACCCTGTTCTTGATAAAAAAAAAAAAGAAAGAAAGAAAGAAAGAAAGAAAGAAAGAAAGAAAGAAAGAAAGAAAGAAAACACTTCATGAAGACTATTAACTCAGGAGGTCGATGGTTTCAAAAGGAAACTGCCTAACTGACAGGGACCCACTCCTACTAAACCTTTAGTGGTGTAACCGATGGCCAATTATCTGATGGCCAATTACTCAAGTTCACAATTACCCAAGCTTATGAAATAGGAAAATACAAAAGATAGTGGGCTTCTCACTAGAATTGGCAGGGGGTGTTTGCCAGCCTGAGAGCTGGGTAGAGTTTTGTTTTCATTTGTTTGTTTTTGTTTTCTTTTTTTTTCCCTCCCTGCAACCCTCCAGCCAGCAAGAAAATGAAAGAGTCCATCTCCTTCATGGAACTGCATTTTTTTTTTGGGGGGGGGGGGTGTTTCGAGACAGGGTTTTTCTATGTAGCCCTGGCTGTCCTGGAACTCACTCTGTAGACTAGGCTGGCCTCGAACTTAGAAATCTGTCTGCCTCTGCCTCCCAAGTGCTGGGATTACAGGCATGCGCCACCACTGCCCAGCTTAATGGAACTGACTGCTTTTCTATCTCACAGACAGGAATCCTGAGAACTCTTGCCAGAGGACTTCAGATCTGGGGGACACAGTCTGGGCTGTGTTGTGGTCCCTTCTGCCTCTGCCAGGCTGATCTCAAGAGATTTCCCAGGAAAAAAGATTGACTGTACCAGGCAGGAGACTTCAGAGACTCCATCACTTTCAAATTCAGAGCAGCAGGGGTAGAGAGATGGCTCACCAGATAAGAGAGTTTGCTGTTATTGCCCAGGGCCAAGGTTTGGCTCCCAGCACCCACATTAGGCACCTCATAACAACCTGTAACTCCAACTCTCAGGGATTCAAACTCTCTTCTGGCCTCTGCAGGCACCTGCACACATATTACATGCACACACATGTGGGTTCCACTCCACCCCACACATAAAAATAAAAATTCTTAAGAAGCTGGAGAAACGACTTATGTTAAGGACATACACACTTTTCTCCCACAGGACCCTGGTTCAATTCCCAGTACCCATACAGAGGTGGCTCACAACCATCTGTAACTACAGTTCCAGAGGATCCGACACACTCTTCTGACCTCCATGGGCACCAAGCACTTGAGGACACAAACACACACACACACATACACACACAGGAGGGAGGGGTAATTTAAAATAAATCTCCTCTTAGAATCTTTTTTTAAAAAATTCAAATCAGAAAAACATAATTTGGTCTCAACTATCAACAGTAGATGTTAACAAAATTAAAAACAAGATAAAAAATAATGACACTGCTTCCAAATCATATTTTTATGCCCCATATAATAGTACTGACAGTGAGTTCTGCAGCACTATGTATAATTTCGAGAAGGAACTTTCAATCAAACATCTGTAGGTTCGTACCCAGTTCAATGTTTTGAAAGTAGCATTTGCCCGGCACTAAAAGAGGGCTCAGAAAAAGCAGGCTCCTCGTGATATGAATTATAAACAAATGTCATTTAGTGAAAAAGAAATGAGACCAGAAAGGGAAGGGCCCCAGCAGGATCAAAGACGAGTATTCAGTGACCCACAAGCTTAAACAAGGCTGTGGTTCCAGAAGGCTACACTGAAAAAAAAAAAACAAACCCTAAGCCACTTCCAAGTCAATTAGTAAATTAATAAATTCTGATAATCAGAAAGCTGGAAACACAAAGTACTGGCTACAGGTTGTAAGGTTGTCCCGTCCCCCTGCGCCCCCCTCCCCCCCGGTGCACCCCCCCCCGTCCCCCTCACATACACACCCTCCCCCGTGTCTTCAGTGAAGCGTATTTCCTAGCTTGCCACAGGATCCATGCAAAGGGAATCCTGATGGACAATTCACGGGTGCAGAGAGGTTCAGGTACATTCCTGCTGTAGACTCCTGGTCTAAGCATTTCTGCTGAGAATTACGGGGCATGCACCATCCCAGCAAAACTTGAATAGGCCTGAACACAGCTCTGAAGTCTAGACCAAATCATTGGGCCCTTTGTTTAAACTGCATGAGCTTCATTAGATCTGCATACCAGCCTGTCCTCTAGCCCTCTGGCTTGGTCCTGGGTGGCCCCTGGGATCTTTGGCACTCTTGAGATGCCCGTCTGTCTGGTCCCACCCTCTTGTAACCCAGAATGCCAGCAAAGTCCATTTTTAAATTCTCTCAGAAGTTTTACAACCACAGGTTTGAGTAAGGAGTATGCTGACATTAAACTAAAAATATGAGCTGCAAACAAAAGCCATCTTTTACCAAGACAGGCTGGGTGTCCCGGGGTTCCATGTGGTAGCACAAGACCATATTCTTGGCAGCCAAGCCTCCTTAACAACTGTTGTGAGCCCCAAAAGGAAGAGAGGCCAGTCTGTCCCTGCACTATCAAGGTATCTCTGCCTGTTTGATGCAAGAAACAGCTTCATGGCTCTGCCATCCACCAAGAAGCAGGCTTGATGAATTCGCGGCGGAGTCTACTTAAAGTGTTAGCTATACATGTAAAGAAGGCGGGAGAAAAAAAACCTTATTTCCCTGGAAAGAAACGTGTTTCCACCCCCTCCCCTACTGCAATTAGAAAAGTAAATAATTATTGTAGCAACTCTAAGGCGTCAAAATAAATGGACTTCAATGGCAACGTGGCCCAGCACAGGTCTGCTAATCTGGAAGAAATGGCGCAAAGGGGTTCCAGAAACTAAGGCTGGGTGGCAACATATAGAGCCTTCTCAGAAAGTCCTACCTGTTGGGCTTCTAAACCATGCAACACAGCCCACAGCCGGCCAGAGCACTCCAGGGTGCCCCTCTCTCCTCTAGCCCCAAACTCTCCTTCTGGACCCCCGGGATGAAGGGTGCCTGGGTCCTACCAATCCTGATATAAGACTTGGTATTTAGCCTAAGCCAGAGAGAAGACGAAGAAGGATTCTTTCCTGTGCTGCAGAAGTCTTTAAATGCTCAGAGCCCAAGAAGAAGGGATGAGTCCAGAAACTGCACAAAGTAACCCCGAGAGCTTTGATGGTCAAAGTGTGGCCCAAAAGCTCTGGAGTCCCTAGCTGGGGGGTCTGGGGCCAGGAGTTGGTAGACCAGGCCCCGGAGCAACAGCTGCAAGGTCACTGCCTAGACCCTGGGATGTTTTCGCAAAATATTTCACCCGATAGAGAGAAGAGCGAGCAACCTATCCACCCTGTCCCCACACCTGCTCTGCTGCTGAGCTTGGAACACGTGGTAGCTCGGCTTGGGTCTTCCCAGGCGGCTGCAGGGACTCGCTACCTCTTCGGGGCGTCCACTACTCGCCCGGGGGTCCCCAACGAGGAAGAGGCAGCGCTGCCTGGCGCAGAGCAGCCGGCTGCCAGCGCCTGCTTCATCTCAGCCCTCAGCAGCAACCCAGACCGAGTTTTGTAGTCTTCCCATCAACCCTCGACCCGGGTAGCTTCCAATAAGCCCTACCTTTCTCTGCCACCTAGCCAATAGACAAGACACAAAGAAAAAAAGAAAGAAAAGAAACGAAAAGAAAGAAGGAGGCAACATACGCCACCGTCTCTCCTTGTGGTCTCAACCTCTAGCCTGGAGCTGGGAGGAAGAGGAAGCGCACCTTCTCTTCCCATCCCAACTCCGTGACCCGCGGATCTCGGCAGTAAAGAGCCCCGAAGAGGCCGAAGGGAAGAGGTGAGGTGGGAAGAAGCAGAAAGCAAAGCGAGAGAGAAGAAAATATTCAACAAAACCACGCTAACGCGCCCCCTACCTGGGTGCAACATACTTTGGAAATAGAAGATGACCAAGATAAAGGATCCCAAGCAAGTGGCCAGCACCATCCGGCAAATTCTGTTCATCCTCATCACTTCCAGCAGCGCCGGCTTCATGGCTTTGTCCTGGTCGCGGGGACCCGGCTGTCCGGGAGGTGCGTCCGGAGCGCAGAAGCGGGGACCCCGCCGCGGGGGGACCAGCGCCCGGGAGGCTCAGAACGGAGCTGGCTGGGCTCCGGAGCTGGCTCCTGCTGGCTTCACCGAGGCTCTCCGAGCCCCCGACTCAGGTCTCGGGGGTGCAAGGCTCGGGAGTTGGTGTGCAAGTGTGGGGATGCGTGGCTCCGGCCGCGCGCTCCTGCCGGTCCGCCTCGCCTCTGCTCGATGCTCCGCCGCCTCCTCTGCTGGCGCCTGCGGCCGCCGCTGCCTCCTCGCGGGCCGGGCGACCGGGATGCGAGAAGGAAGGTGCCGCCGCCGCCGTGCACTGGCCTCTGTGACTGTCCAGGCCCCCCTCCCTCCCTCCCTCGCCGAAAGCTACTTCATTGCGCTCCAGTGATCTATATATTCCAGGGCTGGGTTTTACCAAACGCAACTCGCAGCCCCCGGCGAGGGGAGGGCGCCGGCGAGCGGGGAGGGCGGGGCCGCGCCGGGGGGCGGAGCGTCCGCCTCCCCCCGCCCCTACCCGAGACGTGGTCGCGTCCAGCTGTTTCCCGGGGAGTCCGGAGTGCGCAGCACGCTCCCGCAGGGTCCCAAAAGCCCTCAGTCCCTGGGCGGAGCTGGGCCGCTGTCTTGAGGTTGCGTGAGCGTTTCCATGACACAACCGGGAGGGGGAAAGCCACGAATAAGATGCCGTAGTGCTGCCACCCATTCTCTGGTGTGGCCAGAATCGGGTTAGGTGACAGAGGCAAACGGGGGGGGGGGGGGGGGCTGGTAGCACGCGATCATTTAAAATCCCTGGGTGATTTAGCAGGGGAAGTTGCCCCACGCTCCCCTTAGAGCAGATGCCCTTCTCATAATGATCAAAACTGGGCAGTTTCATTTTTCTTTCAAAGGACACCTCTGCTCGAGGGCTGCTTTTGCAAAGGGAGAGGGCTTAAAGTCAAGATTAGGGAAACTGCACAGCATCCCAGGGTCTGGCGACAGCTGCTACACCTTTCTGACACGTGCCCTTACCCGCACCCCTCGAGGCAAAGGGGATTTGTAGCTTTTAAAACTGTTTCACCAAAGGGTACAGCTTCGTGTAATTTATCCGAAGTGCATGAGAATCAGTCGGGCAGATGTGAAAAGACACCCTTAAAGTCCAACAAAGTGCTGGAAGTGGGGAGGCGGGCGGCGCGGGGGTTGGGGGGAGAAAGAACCAAGTCAGCTTAGCCTTGGCAGGTAGAGAGAAAGATGGCGCTGCTTTCCTGCATTGTGTAAAATGTTTTTAAATGTTCAGCTCCATGCAGTTGGGTTGGCCATAGATCAATAAGGTGGACGCAGGTCAGTGAAAAGGAGATCACTTTTATGCCAGGAAAGCAGGGTTATTGTAAAGCCTGACCTTTCTGCATTTCCATTAAGTGAATTTACAGAAAACTGGATCTGTAAGACATTGTACCTTTGAATGGGTCTCTTCACAGAGGCACTGATAAATTCTCATTGAATGTAATGGGCCTTATCCTCCCCTCAAATCTGACAGACTCACAACTTGCTTTCTGATACATGTATCCAGAAACGCCTCTGAAACCTCCTTTTCTTTCTCCTGAAGTTTCCCCCTGAGCAGAGAAAGTCGACAGTCTTCCTGTGATTCAAAAGACAGTCAATTACAGCGAGGTATTTATGTAGCCAGTATTATTGTATTTTTCCTTTATGAATGAGTTGCTTGCTGACAGTGGCTAAGATATACATGCTCCAATACAAGCCACTCCCCAGGAAGTCCCCCATATGATGTGAGTAGGCACTGTGTCAGGGTTCCTTGCAGGGGCATATCCCCGAGAGTAATGCAGAGCTAGCTGTTCATTACCAGGGTACCAGTATCTTCTTTAACCAAAGCACAGTGAAGAGGAATTTGCATCCCTTTCATTCCATCATCTTTCTTCCCAGGGCAGAAAACCACAGTGATGAGCCTGGACATTCATTCTGTCTTTTTTTTCCCCCCCAAAGCTGAGGACCAAACCCAGGGCCTTGCACTTGCTAGGCAAGCGCTCTACCACTGAGCTAAATCCCCAACCCTAAGCCTGGACATTCATAATAAGCCAGTTTGGGAAGTCACCCACCCAAGGAAGATGTGAGAAAAGTGATTCATTTGGGGTTTTGGAAGTTTGAGTTGGACCATTTGCAGGAGGATGGTGAGCCTTGTCAGGTATCCGTGTTTGCATCCTCAAAATCGGGGTGGGCCTGGCATACAGAATGGGAAGAGGCTGTGCTGATAATGTGCCACCTCTTCCAGGAGGTGTCCTCTAACTTCTCACTGGGATTCTCTTTCCTTCTCTGTGCTGTGAGCTCCAGGTCCACCTCCAGCCACTGTGCCCTATGGACAGAACTATCCTAAAGGATCAAGCTGTCTTCCTCTCCCTCCACCCCGCTCTGGTGCCCAATACAACAACTGTCACACAGTGGATGGAAGTCAGATATGACTAGGTATTTGTCTCTTAGACTAGGAAGTTAAGGTAGAGCCCTCTCAAGTGCACAGTCATGGCCAATGGCAACAGGCTATGACCCTGTTGTCTGTGGCTCACTGGCAGTCAGAGGAGTGGTTCTAATTCCATGTGAAGCTGTAAACTGGCCAACTCCAAAGGAAGTCTCCGCTTTCTTTCTGTCCCTAGCCTAACTAAACCTCATTGTCCCTCTGCTTGTGCTACCTTACTGACAGTGACAAGAAAAAGAACAATCAACTGATAAAATGTGGAGAAAAAAGAAGATTGTACTTTTCAGTCATGACTCAAAGGACGGCTCCTAAAGCCAGGCTTTGGGAGCTGGGAAGTAGCCGAGTAGTAGAGCCCTTGGCCAACATGCATGAGGTCCTGGGTTCAGTCTCTGGTCCAGCAAAATAAAATAAATCAGTTTTGTTTTCCCAATGTACCTGTTAAGACAGGCAAAGTTACATGGATGACAGAGAATCTCTACTTTCCGTGGTTTAAAGCAACTGGGCCACACCGACAGCTGCTATTTACCTACTGTGGATGGGCAGAGGGGTTGTACCTTGGGTATGTTTCACAGACCAGGTGAAGTAGCACCTTCTAGAGCAGTGGTTCTCAACCTTCCTAAGGCTGTGGCCCTTTAATACAGCTCCTCATGTTGTGGTGACCCCCAACCATAAAATTATTTTTGTTGGAACTTCATAATTATAATTTTGCTACCGGTATGAATCGCCATGCAAATATCTGTGTCTTCCAGTATTCTGAAGTGACCCCAAAAGGGATTGCAGCTCACAGGCTGGAAGATGTTGTTCTAGAATGATGCTGTTTGCAAGGCCTGAGAAGAGAGAGCATCTCACCAAATAACTGAGTCATCTTGGCTCTCAAGGGGTACGTGGGATTTCTGAGCTGCATTTATTGGCCAGGACCTGTCACAGGGCTGCCCGACATCACACCTAGGTCAGGAAGTGTGGTTCTCTTATGAACCACAAGTGGAGCATGGGTGGGGAGCTGCCTTCCTACTCACTGGTTCGACTTACTCTTCAAATCTCATTTCTATCATTTCTCTAGCCTCCCCTTTGTCCCAGGGGTGCTGGGGAGGATGGTACTGAGCTCAGTACTGTGCTCGGACCTGCCTTGACCATTTTCCAAAAACAAAAATGCACTTGCAGGATTGAAAGCCTAGCATGGCCTGGCGGGGAGGGGAGCTAATGGAGCAGAAAGTCCTCTGTATGCCAAGGCCCTTGTTAAATTGATTTTAAAAAGAGTGAGATAGATGCAGAAATCATAGCTCCAGGTGTCGCCTTTTGTGAGCAGCGAACGGACAAGGTGTATACCCCGTCCCTCCAGTCTCAACAGACAGAGCTCAGTCTCATGCCTGTGGGTTCTGCCCACAATGTACTGTCCTGTTACGGTCTTCCAAAATTGGCACAAAGCCCCTTTCTGCACTTTGTTGGAGTGAGAAATGGACCCAGAGTACAGGGAAGACAGAGAACCCTTCAGCATCTTCCAGGAAGACCGTGAATGTGTCTCATACCAACATGGGCTGAGGGGCCTCCCACTGGCTCCTCCAAGGATTGGTTTTTCCCCATTTGCATCTCTCTGACACCTCTCGCACAAAGTACACTCAGTTAGCCTGAACACAGTCAATATTTGTGGAGCTGAATTTAAAACCATTTGCCCACAGCACCGGGAGATTTGGGGTATAAATTTTCTACAGGTAGGTAAACCGCAAATACACAAGTGGGCCACTCACAACTCGGCTCTGAGAGCAAGCCCTTCCTCACCTTGCCAGCTTCTCAGAACCAGATTGGAAAGAAAGAAGGGAAGAGAGAAAAGATGAGAAATGGAAGAGAACAAGAGACATCTGGACAGAGGAAGGAATGGAAGGAAAGGGGGGAGAGGAGAGAAAATAGAAAGGAAAGAGAAAGCTGGGCAGTGGTGGTGCACGCCTTTAATCCCAGCACTCGGGAAGCAGAGGCAGGTGGATTTCTGAGTTTGAGGCCAGCCTGGTCTACAGACTGAGTTCCAGGACAGCCAGGGCTACACAGAGAAACCTTGTCTCAGAAAAAAAAAAGAAAGAAAAGAAAGAAAGAAAGAGAAAGAAGAAAGAAAGAGAGAAAGAGAAAAAGAAAGAAAGGAAGGAAGGAAGGAAGGGAGGAAGAAAGAGAGAGAGAGAGAGAGAGAGAGGGGAAGGAAGGAAGGAAGGAAGGAAGGAAGGAAGGAAGGAAGGAAGGACGGGGAGATGGAGGAAGGGCAGAGGCAAGGAAATGAGCAGGAGGATGGAATCAGTAAGGAGAGGATTGTGGTAAGAGATGTCTGTCTTCCTGTCTCATTTCAAATGCTGCTTCATCTCTCTCCCCAGCTTGGACCCTGAGATCCCCCAGTGACCTTGCAGGTCTTTTGGTCACTCAGGCTCTACCTCAAGCCAAGCTCATTGTTTCATCTCTCGAACGGCCAGAAATGATTCCCTTACTTACAGTCACTCAACACAGATGAGTCTCACCCAGTTTCCCTGTTGTTATCTAGGGCCTTGGAAGGCCCCCCAGCGACCATCCAAGTCTGCACACTCCAGCTTACACGTTGACGGCCTTGCGTCCCATCCTGTCTCTGTCTGAGCTACCCCTCTCTAGGCCCAGCCGCGTCCCACAAGCTTTTATAAGCTTCCTCTTACTAGTCTCACTCTCCTTTTTACAGAGGAGGAAACTGAGGCAGAGAAAAATAATGTCATACTCCAGGGACTCACAGCTAGAACAGGCAGATCCAAGATTGCAAAGCTAGAAGCAGCACCAGTCCTCGAGGGTCACTCTGTGCCTCCTGTGCAGGCTGGGAGGCAGAAGGAAGGCAATACCATCCCCATCTCTGGTTTTTG